TTTGTTAATCATGAATTAAATATTGAACTTGTTTTAACGATTAAATGTTTTTATTCCTGTAGTCACATATAAATAAATATAGCTTGATAAATAATACTATTATTAAACTTACTCTTAAGAGTTAATAATTTTTAGGGTAAAGTATAGTAATGGTCATTGAACTTTTCTGAAGCTTTCATTTAGGTCCTCTAACTTTAAAACTTGCAATTCAATCCCCCAATATTTAGTCTGATTGTAATATGGTCCCGACTTTACACGGCCGTTACAGTCACCCAACATTGCAGTTATGAAAATTAGGGTAAATTATATAAATGGTCAATTAACTTTTTAGGTGCTTACATTTAGGTCCCTCAACTTTTAAAAATTGCAAAACAGTCCTTAATTTCATTCTAAACCCCAAATTCCAAAATAATTCAATTTCATTCTAAACCCCCAAATTCTAAAATACTGTTTATCTCCTGCTGATTTCACCTATACCAGTGTTTGATTCAATCGCTTTTGTGCATACATGATAACAAATTATATAATACATTTACAGGAGAGATTTCATAACAAATATCCAGAGATGCCAACAACATGATGAAGAAATAAAAAGGAAACATCACCCAAAACCAACACAAACAAATGAAGCAAACTGAACACATGTTATGAACAGATCACCACGTATCCAAACTGTTATCAAACTGTGTTTAAAGCTATTGGTTTCTTCTTGTTTTGCTTTTGCAGAAGAGAGATGTGGATGAAACCAAACTTTCTTCTCTGGCTCAAATACTGCTTCTGCTCATCTTTTTGATCAGGTTTTGGAGAAAATGCCAGATGATGATGATGCTGATCTTCCCTTAGTTCATGAAGCATTTGGCTCAAAGCTACCTTTTGCCTTTCGGTTGGACCTTTAGTTGGAACTTGTTTCCTGCTGAGGATATCCTCCATCGAAACCGGTGGCCTCGAGACGGGATTTTGTTCATCGTCCGTCTTTGGATTTCGCTCGTTCAGATCGTGTAACGGTGATCGAGTGATCTTCTGATGCTGATGAGGATGTGGGAGTGGGAAATTGTCGATCTTGGTAGCATTGTGAACAACATGTTTCCTCTGTTTTTGATCCGGAATCCATCTCCTGAGAGCCTCTTTGGCATCGAATTGCATCCTGTTTGCGGTTTCGACTCTGTTGAGAGCATCTTCCAATGCCTCTTTACTATGTTTAACTTCCTCTGAAGCTTTCTCCAGTTTCCTCAGGATTGAAAGCTTGAAGACATTTGCTTCAGCATGAGGGGTTCGAGGCAATAACTCCGGTTCTGGCAAGCAAAATCCGGAAGAGTTATCATCGCACGGCGAACCTTCATTTCGATAACAGCAAGGGCCTTTGCTGCCCTTGAAGCTTCCTCCATCTTCTTAGCTGCAATCCACCTCATTTCAGCTGTTCTAATACAAGGCTTTCTATGTTCATTTGCCGGCATCGACATCGGTTTCGGAACTTCACTTCTTGTAGGATCAACCATTTGCTTAAACTGCTCAGGCTTGGCATTATTGTGACATGTACCACTTGAAATGTTTGATGATTGCTCAAAATTGCCATTGCTAGGCTTCAATGCCAGCCCTGCAAACTTATAAGTTAGCTTCTCACGGGTCCTTTCGAGTAGACTCTTCTCTTTCTTCATCTTCCGATTGAGACACTCGACCGAAGCTTGGATCGCCCCAAGATCATTGATAGTTTTACCAAGGTTCAACTTAGCTTTCTTCAACTCCATCAAAATTGATTCCGGAGATGAAATCGAGCCGGGATTCGAGGACCTGAATCTAGAATGCTCACAATGTTCCTCGTTCGTTTCCTTGACGGTATCGGAATCAGGACTGGTACCATTCATGCACTTCATGGCTTCATGCTGCAGCTGTCTCTTTAATTCTTCAACAATCTTCTTTGTGGATCCCAGTTCTTCAAGCACATCAAGGGTCTCCAATTCTTTTACAATCAGATCTTTCTCCAATTCTGCTGCTTGTTCTTCCACTTTCTTTAAATCAAACTCTTCAATCCCATTCTGTTCTCATAATTTTACACACACGCACATGAATAAATACAAGCAATATGCAAACTAAAATGATGATAACATGTTGAAAATTTCATGATTACGCAACAAAACAAAGAATACCTTTATTATCACATTATATATATATAATAATCAAAGAACAGGGTGATAGTACTTACATATGCCGCATCAAACTTGTATAATGGCACCCAAGGTCCGCTGCCACCAAACCGGGTCACAGCCTCCCTAACCGATCCGAAAGGTGGTGAAGTGTCGATCTCAGCCCTCAAACTCACTCTCCTTATTCCGGGGTTCAGGTCACCGGCCGGGACATGACACAAATCGGTGCAAAACCCGAAATTCTTGGAACCGGACTCGGGTCTCACCTCCTGGATCTTAGGTGTACCCGGAAATCCTTCCAGTGGGGAGTTTTGAGGTTCAGCTGCCATTGCATAGGCACACAAATAAGGTTAGCTAGAGAGTAAATATATAGTGTGAAGAAAATGTTAATGTGAATGTGACTTGTGAGTGTAATGCAAAGACAAAAGGCCTAGTTTTAAAGGGTGTGCAATTCCAGCTTTAAAGATGAAAAAGAGAATACATACGTATCTTTATGAATTATATGTACGAACAATGCATATATATATATATATATATATATATATTTAAACATGAAAAATTAATCAATAATTAATTATTCTAAAAAGATAAGATGTTAGAGTTTTTAAACAAAATCAATGATATTTTTTTGAACACTCGAAAAGGCCAGCACTTTATTAATGAAAAACCAACTAAAAGAAGTTGCACCTCCCAACCTTGCCAATGAGAACCAGATTGGATGACAGCTAAACAAAAGTAAAAAAAAAAAACAACCGAAAAAACAAAAGAATCGTCTGAAAAACAAAGCAAACGCACCGACCCTTTCTCTCCCTTTCTTCCAAAAAATCAAACTTAAACAGTGATCATGCACACATCAAGAGGATTACAAAAAATTGAGCATAAATCCCCAAGCAACGTCCCCCACTAGACAACGACTAAGGGGGATACAGCGACATGACGAAGCACCATCTTCGGGGCATCTTCGATCCAGTATCTCCTCCATACCCGAAGATGAATCGGCAACCATAAGGTGAGCAGCTCCATTGCTTGATCTTGGTGTAAACTGAAACAGCCATTTCGAATGGATAATGATTTTTGGTTTGCATCCCATATCACTGACCCAATCTCTGAGTAATCAGGTTTAAGGGAAGAAAGCTTCTCCACCACCGTTCTCGCATCACCTTTTTACTTAAGGCACTGTAAATAGAACAAATTATATTTGAAGGCACGTTGCTCTCTCCTTTTTACTTAAGGTTTGTGTTGTTTTCTCTATAAATCAGATCAACTTTTTCTTCTTTTAAGTTTTTGATGTTAGTCGAATACTACCAATTCTCTTTTTTATTCTTTTAATAAAAGTCTAAATTATAATTTTTTAAATTTTGAGGAGGTAATGGCCCCCATTAGTCATGCTTATGTTCCCATCATTGCTTCTTAATAAGGCTAGTTGCTTGTATTGGAAAAATAAACTAAATTTTAAGGATTTTCTATAATAATTTTGTATAATATTTAATTTTAATTAATTGATTAATACATTAAATAATAATTATAATGATAAATTAAAAATTAATCCATAAGATTTGTTATGATTATGTCCATATTTCCACATGGTGAAAGTGAGAGAAAATCATTCAAAAAAAAAAGTGAGAGAAAAGGTGGCAAAGCGATTTTCCTGTTCCTTTTTCCATTTTTTAATTCAGTGAGGTTGAAGTTTGGAGCCGTAGTGACGTGTCTAATTTTTATTGGTTGTTTATTGTGAGAAATCAGAGCTAGCGAAAAGGTTTTGAGGTTTGGATCAATGGTATATTGACACGTCAGCTTGTTATAATGAGATTGGGGATTGCATGTTAGTATTGGTTTTGAGGGTTTGGCCGTTGATTGCGGTCTCAAAGGCAAAGGAATATAGGGAATTGCACTTTAGGAAGGGGAAAGGCAAGGTCAAATCAAACGACAACGTTTGCGTAAAATTGAAGAAAACTGTTCAGATTACTCAAAAGATAGAACAATCATTTGGTTTTAAGTCTTGGAAATTAGAAATGTATGTTATGAAAATTATAGATTAAGTCCGTACAGTTTCTACCGGTTCACAAAATATAAGATTAATTTTTAGAAATAAGCTACTAGAATATGATATTACTATAATAATGTTGTGTTTTTTTGGTTTGTTTAATTAGAATATAAGATTACAATATAGAATAATTTCTGGGAAAAAATTATTCTTCGGTAATAATATTTTTAATGAACCGAAAGTGAGAATTCAATTTCATGAAAGATTTTTCTCCTTGATAATGATTTTTTTTGTGTGAATCAATCGCTCACTTAAGGTAAGTATTCAATCAGGTCAAGCTGGGTTAAAAAAATTAATTTAAATCAAGTTAAAAAATTGATTTAAAAAAATTTAGTCGAGTCAAGTTACATAGGTATTATGTAGGGAAATTAGTTTTCAAAAGATATTAAATTGTAAAATAAAAAGGAAATTAGTTTTCAAAAGAGGAATTAATGTAGGTATTCTACAATAGTTTTCAAAAGAGCAATTAACGTAGGTATTCTACAATAATTTAGGAGTGTTGGATTAAATTTGAACAAAATTTGAGTTAAAACAAATGATGATTTGAAAGAAAACAATCAGGAATTAAATAGTAAAATAGTTAAATTCAATTTTTCAGTTTCTCAAAAGGTAAAATATGAACTCGATTCAAACCTAAAATATCCAATTTAACTCAAACAACTTGAATAACTCAAAAAAATGAGTCTAATTAATTTTTTTTTTTGGATAAATCAATTCAATTTTATATCCAAAAGAGCAGTAAAACTGCTTCAAAACTCTGAAAGTTCATACATAAAAATCAACACTTACAACACTATACAACAGAACTGAAAACATCAATGTTCAATACCCCATTGATTACAAAGAGTATTATTGACATAGTCATTTCTATTTATTTCTCTACCCTTAAGTTGAATAGCAACAGAGTCTTTAATAGCAAGGAGTAAGGCATTAACATTTCTTGAGCGTCCTTGGTAAATTCTCTTGTTTCTCTCCTCCCAAATAATGTAAGTAAAAGTAGTCCAAGCAAGCTTCATAATAGTAGTGAGTAGTGATTTTCCTTTCCATGAAGCACAAGCCCATGAAATGTGAGCATCCCATGAACAAGTTCCTCTGCAAATGCCATTAAGATGCAGGACAGAGTTCCAAACAGAATTTGCCACAGAACAATGAAGAAACAAGTGGTCCCTAGTTTCCCTCTCTTCACTACAAAGCACACAAATACCGTCAATGTTTAACCCCATTCGAATCAGCCTATTTTTGGTTGGTAATCTGCCAAGGAAAGCCATCCAAGTAATAATACTATACTTAGGGACATGAAGAGGAAACCAGAATAATTTATGCCAAGTAACCTTGTCATCTTTGTTACGGATGTGATGCCATATGTCTTTGATTGAATGAGTTCCAGAAGCAAAAATGGGGGCAGCGTGATTCCTCATACTGAGCAGTTTACGAAAGCTCCAGCTTGTATTGATCCTAGCCTCCATAGTCCAAAAATCAGAGTTCTTGATAACATAAGTTTTGATCCAAGCGATCCATAGCGAACCATCACCCGCAAGGATTTCTTTATCAAGTGCAGAATACAAGTTTTATTCCAAGATTTTATGTCTTTTAGGCCAAGACCCCCTTCCGATTTTGGGAGGCAAAGCTTATCCCATTTAACTCTTGCACCTTTAGCAGCAATATCAGAACCTTTCCAGAAAAACCTTGAACATAACTGCTCAATCCGATTAAGCACAGATTGTGGAAGGATTAGCTGCCTACACCAGAAATTTGTGATACTATGAAGAACAGTTTTAATGAGCTCGAGTCTTCCAGCGTAACTCAAATGTCTTCGAGACCATTTATGGAGACGGTCTCTAATATTGTCAATTAGAGCTATGCAGTCTTTCTCCGAAAGCTTTCTAGATACTAGTGGAACACCCAAGTATCTAACAGGTAAGCAACCATGGTTAAAACCCGTAATCTGTTTGATTTCTCCTATTTTCATTGGTGAAATTCCAGCAGTGAAGAATTCACATTTATGAGCATTAAGTTTAAGGCCTGAAATTTCATAGAAGTGATCAAGAACACTAATTACCCCCACAACAGATTCTACATTCCCTCGACAGAAAATAAGCAAGTCATCTGCAAAGGTGAGATGAGTTAACCCAATCTTTTTACATTTAGGGTGGAAGCCAAAAATACCTCTAGTAGCAGCTTTGTTGAGAATACTAGAAAGGATATTCATTGATAGTACGAAAAGTAAAGGTGAGATGGGATCACCTTGTCTTAATCCTCTAGCACCTTTAAAGAAGCCAATTAGACTACCGTTAAAAGATATAGAGTACCGAGCAGTAGTGAAACAAGCCTCAACCCACTTAATATAATTGGCAGGAAGTCCAATAGCAATGAGGACAGTAGAAATAAAATCCCAATGTAAAGAGTCGAATGCTTTGTGGAGATCAATTTTCATTGAACATCTTGGTGATAAAGTCTTCATTCCATAACCTTTGACAAGCTCCTGAGCTAGAAGAGTGTTATCTACTATGTTCCTCCCTTTAACAAAAGCCGTTTGGTTAAACGAAATAATTCCAGGGAGAAGGGGTGTCAATCGATTGACCAAGATTTTAGAAACAGCTTTATAGACCACCGAACAACAAGAAATAGGCCGAAAATCTTTCACCTGGCTAGGATTTGGAATTTTAGGTACCAAAGTAATACAAGTGGCATTAAATGCATAAGGTTGAGTGTAAGGATCTCTAAAGAAGTGAGTAACAGCTGCCACCACGTCATCACCAATAATAGGCCAAGCTTTCTTGAAAAAATATGGAGTGTAACCATCCGGACCGGGAGCTTTATCGTTGCCTTGAGAAAAAAATGCATCTTTAATTTCATCACGAGTAACCTCCTTAACAAGATCATTAGAGCTTTCCAAAGGCAAAGAGTTAAGAATCAGATCCTTTAAAGTGTTCGGGTCACAAGATTTAACCTCAAAATTAGTCCCAATCAGGTTGGTAAAGAACCGTAAGACTTCTGTAGCCATATCCTCATAAGTTTCTAATCTTCTTCCTTGGTCATCAATAAGCACACGTATAGTATCCCTCTTCGTTTTAGTAGCAACTGCAGAGTGGAAAAATTTCGTACATTTATCACCATGATTAATCCACTGTACCTTCGCTTTCTGTCTTAAAAACATGTTTTCGGCTTCTTGAAGGAGGTGGAGCTCGTTTTGCAATTGGGATTCTTTTTGGAAAGAATCAGCAAGATTTAAAGATTTGATCTGTTGATCCTCGAGCTCCAGTTTCTTTTGGTTGACACGATCAGAAATATTGCTATAATGCTGCTGGTTTAGGGCTTTCAAACTGATTTTTAGGCGTTTAAGCTTGGAGAACAGTTGTTGCATAGGGTTGCCCTGGGAAAAAGAGTGCCAAGAATGGCTAACTATGCTTAGGAATTCAGAGTGGTGGGCCCAAAAGTTAAAAAATTTGAAAGGCTTAGGATGGTCAGCATGAACCTCTTTAGAAAGCCAAGCAATTACCAAATAGTGGTCAGAAATTCCAGGAGCAAGGAATTCCACATGTGACTTGGGAAAAGCAGTAAACCAAATAGGATTAACTAAGATTCTATCAAGTTTTTTTGCTAGATATGATTCGTGTTGTTTGTTGCTCCAGGTGAAAGTAGGGCCAAAATAAGGGTGGTCAAGCAATTCCAAGTCAAACAAAGCATCCTGGAATTCCTTCATGTCTGGAGTAATAAAAGGGCCCAATAGAGCAGAATTTGAACTTTCTGTCGAATTAAGAATAACATTAAAATCACCTCCCAGTATCCAAGGAAAATTGCCATGCTGGCTGTTCACTTCATGTAGATGCTGCCATAGTTGCCTTCTCAAAACACCTTCATTTCTGCCATAAATAGCTGTGATAATCAGAGGATTACTAAGATAATGACCTTTAATGGTTATACACTGATCAGACATGTGTATAATCGAGAAATCAATGCCTTTCTTCCAGAGGATCAAAATTCTGCCATTCTCAGCAAAGTTGTGATTAGTACAATAATTCCAGTGCTCAAACTTAGAATTCAGAATAAACGAAGCATTACTAGTTTTAACTCTAGTTTCCAAGAGGCAAAGAATATCAACATTCATAAGACGAGCTCTCTTTAGAACACCATGTTGTTTAAGAGGACTGTTGAGTCCTCTTATATTCCAAAATCCCACAATCATTGAGAAAGAGAGGATGTAGCAGCCACATTAACTCCTACTACAATATTTTTAGCTTTATCAAAACGGTCTTTCTTTTTTGTTTTCAGTTCGTTCAAAAGATTGGCTACACCTTTAGATGCTTCTCTTTTCTTTGGTTTACTTTCATTCAAAACAGGAGATGAATCTTCAATTACGGATAGTATTTCGAATCTGTTTTTTGACCCAGCAAGCACAGTTGTCGATGAAGTCTTGCCTCTTTCCCGTGATAACAAAGTAGGTTCAGTAACCTCTACTGAAGGAACAGTAAGGTCAGGGAGTATAACATCTTCTTTAACAGCAGAAATAATTTGATCAGTGGGAATAATGTTATTGCTTGAGTCAGTACTAACTTCAGTTGAAATAAGCTCCTTACTGTTGTTGCTAACAGAAGTTAAATTTCCTTGTAACATCTCAGTTCCTCCTATTAACGGTTCAGAATCATTAGCATTAGGAATAGTTTCTTTCCTTTTCCATACTTGTGTAGGCTGCTGGGCAGTCTGTTTGTGAACTTTACAGCCCTTCTCTGTGTGGCCAAACATTTTACAACTCCTACAGCTTGGTGGTAACCAAGGGATCTCCACAAACACTGAAGTAACAGACCCATCGTTCAATACGACCTCCACATACTCAGGTATTTTATCATTTGGCCCTATTTCTAAACAGATTTTTGCAAATTCCAACCTTGTTTTTTCTGCAGTAACAGAGTCCATGGAGAGTGGGACTCCAATGGCACTAGCAATATGACTAAGACCAGCTCGGGAGTAAAGTTCTAAAGGGACATTGAATAAGTGAACCCAAACTGGAATTTTTGTTAGGTCAAAACTGAGTTTTTTCATATTTGGTTCCCAATTTCTAAGGATCAACGGTTTGTTGTAGATATGCCAAGGTCCATGTTCTAACACCCAATCTCTAGCAGCATTCGAACTAAAAGAAAAGAGGAAGAGATTGTTACCTGCTTTGCTGATGCGAACCGGACTGCCATTCGAAGCATTTTTCCACATGGCTTCAACGATTCTTTGCATTGAGATGAAATTTGGAGGTGGCCCAAGGAATTGTCCTACTAACGAGTGTTTCCACTCCGCTATCCCATCTTCAAAAACCTCTGGCGGTGGCTGAACCACCGGAGACCCATCGCGTAGTGTCGGAGGATAAAAATCAAGGTCAAGACCTTTTGAAATTTCAAACAACTTTCTCCAATCCATGGTTGCACGGGAACTGGTTGAGGAATAAGAGAATGAGGGGACAGAGTAACCAGATGGAGAGAAGAAAACAAGACCGGAGCCACGAACGGAGAACCCAGAAACGTTAAACCTGCTAACGTGCACCTAGAGAAAACCGGCTATCGTGCGCTCCACTATAACCGTCTAACAGATTGAACCTATTATAATACTCCTAATAATGGGTATAAAAAAAGTAGAAAGTGAAAAAAACAAAATAACTTCTAATTAAATTTTACTCACATTTACATGCACTATAAATATTTTTAATTTATTTGTTTTAAAATTTTGAAATCCATTACTGACCTAATAAATTAAATTTTACAATTAATTCTTATATTACGCGTAAGTTATAGATTTAGTTCAAATTCTCTAATTTGATGATTTTAAGTTTATATTATTTAATTATACCATCTCTATATTATTTGAGCAGACTAAAATTTTAGAATTTCAAAAGTATATAATTAAAATCGATTAAATTACAGCGTATGAACTAAATACACAATTTATACATAGTAGAACGCCTAAATACAGAATTAGACCTAAAATAAATGACGACTTTGAGAATTATCTCAAAAATCTAAACAAAAAGGGGTTTTTGTTCCTTCAATGTTGTCGTTGACTAGCAAGTCATATGGCAGAAGACAAGCATAAAACTGTATTTCATAATCAAATTAAAGCGAAAATAGGAAGTGACGGGAATATTAAAATAAATTCGTTATAAATAGATAAATATGTAAATTAAATTATGAAGGAATCGTCTTTTCTATAGTGTGTTTATATGCTTTGGAGGACTAATGTGAGAAAGGGCATGCATCCCCATAATTATTACCATGTGTGGCTGGCTCACTTTCCAACCCATCATTTCCCTTCCAAAACCTCCCAATCTTTTCTTTCAAATTCTCATCACCGATCAACTAATTTAGGAGAATTTTAGAAAAATTATTAAGAATTTATAGTATGTAAAATTATAAAAATTTAAAAGTATAAATTAATTATTATAAATAAATCATTTAAAGTATATAAGAATATACAATTTTTAGAAGCATGATCACGTTTTTTTAATTCATATCCGACCTAATTTATGAAATGTATTAAAGAAATTGAGTTTGGATAAATAATTAGTAATTTTTCCTGTCTTTTTATATATAATTTTTATATAATATATTTATTTTTGTCTTTTTTAATTTACGTTCATTTATTTATCATTATTTTTTCTTATAATTTTGTTATTATTTTTTATATCTAATATATATGAAGCACTGGAGGTGAAAGTTTCAGAAAAACATTGATTTTGTGGTAAAGAAGATGTCTAGAAATCTTGGGAATTTATGACGTTTTACCTAAAACCAGTATGTGTCGGTGAACATGGATTTTGTAATAAAGAAGATGCCTAGAAATCTTGGAAATTTAATTTCAAATATCACTATGTGTCGGTTTAACCTACATTTATTCTAGTGAGTTCGTTTGATCTTTCGTTTTTTTTCTTTTCCAGTTTTTGAAATAACTTTTTTTAATAAAGCAACATTTTAAAAGAAAATGTTATTAAGTTTATTAGATAATTTAATGATTAAAAGAAATATTATTTATTCAAAAATTTTAAATTCAAACAGTTAAGTTTATAATATATATATTTATTTTGATACACATTATAATATATATATTTATCAATGACTAAAAAATATTATAAACAAATAATATCTTATAAATATTCTAAACTATTTAAAGATATCACAAAAAGAATTATTCGACAATATTTTTAGCGTTTAAAAAAAATGTTTGTAGCAAAACGGGTGCTAAATACATAACATGGTTTAATATATATAAATATAAGGCTATAACTGAATGTCTCTTAAATTGCGTGGTCTTTTATTTTATTTAAAGTTTTCACCAAATTAATTTCTATTTTATGATTTTTACTTCAAGGGTTTCTTTTTTGTTGGTTACTGTAACTAATAAATAAAATTTTATTTTCTATAATTAAATTATGTTACCATTTATTACAGTGTGTTAGTTTACTTGGTGTTTATGTCGTGCCACTGCTAGAGTGAATATGATATTGATGAAGAATAAAAGTTACATGATTTTGTGATAAAAACGTTAATAGTATTATGTGTGTATATATATTTGTTATTTGTGAATATTTACTTGAATTATTAAGCATATATTATTGAATATATTTTATTTTTTAAGCGAATGCGAATATTTTATATCTTGTAGACAATGTAATAATACACATCATCATATAAAACATTTTTGTTATTTAAAAAACGAGACAATCTTTTGTGGTAGAAAATTAATGTAAGACTCCAAAGGACTAATATTGCTATCTTATGTTATCAATATGGTATTGAAACATATCAATCTTTTACAGTACAAAATTAATTCAAAGCTCCATAAAATCTAATATGTTATATGAAGAAATAATATTTGAGACAATATATTATATTCTAATCACTCTCAAAGAACTTATTTTATTTACCAAAAATAGATATCATGTTGGATTATTAATGAGAAACAAAGTTAATTTATACACATTACATTGAGTAAAAACATTATATGAGAAAATTACCCATCATTCTTTTAGTTTGTACTACATATATTATTATTAATGTGACTAAATCAACGCGATACTAAACATAAAGTTTACAGTTCAAACTGTTAACTAGTTGGTATGGTGTATTAGGTCATAATAATGATGTAAAAAATAATTGATATTTTTCATGAATGTTTATTAAAAAGAACTTGCAGTTTTTTGCTGATTTTTTTTAAGAAATTGATTATTAAAATAATTAGTTGAAACTGATTACTAATTATTATTTAATTGTTTTCAAAGAAATTTACTCGATTGCAAATTTAATTCTACTAGCCTGTATTTTTAGATGTTATACCAAATGATGTAGTACAAATGTTGTGGCCTTAAAGGTTGATTTAGGTGTCAAATGAGATGTTTAGAGTCATGTTAGGGTTAATTCTTAGACCTTAATAGATAATTTATACACGCTAATAACGATATTGTTCTTGAGGTATTGGTACCTTAAAAATTTTAAAATAAACATGAGCTACTTATGTTTGAAGTATTGATACTTATACTTAAGGTATAATTAGTTATGAGATTGTTAGTGTTAATTAAAAATTTATTAGTGTTTGATGTTAGTTTGGGTTGTATAAACCCCCAACTATAAATGTAATGTCCCAAAACCTGGGTTAGGAGTTTTGGGCTAATCCGAGAAGGCCTTAAAATTAAATCCATTATATTGTGAAAGAGTTTGTCCCAAGTTGGGTTTGGTTTAGGCCCAATAGAAGTTAAAAATAACATTTTTAATATTTAAATAAAGGAAGGACTATGAGAGCAATTATCCCATAAACTCTTAGAAATATTGATTTTGTTTAAATGTTGGTGAGGTCACGCAGCAGGCACTATTTTTCTTAATATTTATTGTCTTCTTCTTCTTTACTCAAAATCTTCACCTTCTTCATTAATAACTTGAGCAAAGGTGGGAGCTTTATTAGTCATCACTTGAAATTTGTGTTTGCAAAGTGAGAGAAGTGGAAGAAAGCTCCAAGAGCAAGGGAAAGGAAAAAACAACACTTTATTGAGCTTTAGACACTTCCAGAAGCTTAGGATTCAAGGTAACACACTTATAACTCATCTCTACCACTTGTAGATCACTAGGTGTGTGTTGTTAGCTTGCACGAGCTATGAAGCAATATAAGCATGCTCATGGTAGATTACAATATTTAGTGTTTTTCAGCTTGTTTATTGGCCTATCATGACCCATTCTATTTTACATAAAACTTAAATAACACTTAAGAACCTCAATAGGGCTTTTGGGAGAAATAGGAAGCCATTTTTGTGCCCACTATTCATTAGATAACCTAAAATAAGAGGATTTTGGGCTAGGAGTATCGGTACTCATTGGAGTATCGATACTGAGGAGTAGAATATCAATACTCTAAATAGGGATATTGATACTAAGTAAAATTTCAAAACATCGAAGCAAATTTTGGTATTGATACTTAGGATAATATTGATACCCTTGTTCAAAAGTATTGATACTCAGGATAGTACCATACCCTGGTTCAAAACAATATCAACTAGGATAACATAAAACTAGCCTTTATATGACGCTCGGGAAATAACCAGGACACCCAAGTTAATTTAGTAGTTGACGATTGTCTTACTTGTTAGAAGTATTCAAATATGTCCCAGCTAGTGTCGAGGCACTTTAATTGCCAATTGGGTATATATGCCCCAGGACTCGATGGAGTAAATTCGTCGGGTGTACATTTTCGATACAATTTTGAATCTCACCCCAAATACCCAAGGGTATCTTAATAGGTTAAAGGGCCATACGATCCGAGATGCAGAACCCTCAACCACACCATGATACTTACCTCATCCTTGCATAACAACATCCTTATGTGTTCAAACCTATGCAACTTGTAACGCCCCGAGTTTTGGGTTAGTAGTTTGGGTCAACCCGAGACCTATAAGTGAGCCCAAAGACCTATTAAAATAGTTGGACCAAGTTTTATTAGTGGGCTTGAGTTGGGCCCAAGAGTTTTAAAGAAATGTTATGAGTATTTTATGAAATAAAAATATGAGGGACCAATAGTGTAATTTATCCATTGTTCAAATTAAAAGCTGAAAACCCCCTATTTTATGCTTGTTTACGTGAACCACTCCCCTTAGTAGCTCACCAAACACCATCATCTTATCTTTCTTATTTTCTCTTTCTTCCTTCAAGTGAGAATCTCAAAGATTTCTTACCTAGTTGAGTTTAGATAAGGTAAGATTGGTAATCTTCAATCAAAGAACTTTAATTTAAGCCTAATTTCTTAAGTTTTACACTTAGTTCCAAAAAATGGGTTTTAGGAAGGTTTAAGAGAATATATGGATTCTAGCTCATTTTTTGTATATTTAAATTATAAGAAGTGTTCTTAACTTTAATCTAACCACCTGGTCAAGCTAGTAATTCCTTTTTCTTACCTTTGATTAGTGAAAGAAGTATGAGAGAGCTCAAGGGCAAAAAGAAAAGAGAAGTTGTTTCTTGGGTGACTTGGGGGGTTTCTAGCAGCAAGAATTCAAGGTAACACATTTATAACTTTTTTTATACCCTTTGTGGGGTCATTAGAAATGCAACATTAGCTTAAGAGTTAAGTTGAAGCATGCTAAACATACCCATGGTAATTTTTATGTTTTAGAGTTTTAAACATGTTTAAAACCTTATTTATGCCCCTTTGTAACTACATAAGACATTAATAGCGATTGTAAACCTCAAGGTAGTAATATGGGTGAGATTGAGTGTCCAATTCGTGCCTAAATAGGGCATTTTCGAGGGTGAGTATCGATACTGGAGGAACAATACCAATATTGTTCTTATAATAGGCTTAGATTTAAATAGTTTATGAAGACAATGTCGATACCCCTAGAAGGAGTATCGATACTGAGGTTCTGGTATCAAGACCAGGGAGCTTGGTATCGAAATCACTTTTCCAGTGTATATTTTTTGTATCGATACTCCCCATAGGTATATTGATACTACTCTTTTTCCCTCTAATAAAACATGGCAATAGAGTTTCGATACTCTAGGAGGAGTATCGATACTCGAGGGATAGTATCGATACCTATAGGCATGGTATCAATACCCAAGCACATTTTTTGGCATGAAATTCAAGGGACTTTAAAAAAGGATGAAGTTTTCCAAAAACTTTATAATTACCCTCAAATAAGACTACAAGCAAGAACAAGAATAATGTCTAATTACATTAGAAACGAAATTAGAGTGACTTAAAACTAGCTTTGATTGAATGCTCGGGAAACGACCCAGACACCCGAGTCACTTTAGCAAATAATACTAGTATTAGAAAAAGTAAATTCAGTCCGGATATCCTTAAGTAGCACGTGAGGCACTTTAAACTGGCTAACTAGGGCCGAGGCTAGACACTCGTGAGGGATGGGTTAGTCGAGGGTGTTTTGTCCGATGTAGAGATTTTGGGTCTCATCCTTGATAGACTAGAGGGTTGTGTGAGCTCCGAGATGCAGAACCTCAGTCACATCATGATGTCTACCATAGAATAAAGAATGTAGTATATGAGTATACTTACTATTGTATTGTACTAGATAATTTGAGCATTTAATGAACACTTTTAGTATGATTTAGTTGTTACTGTGGCACTGTGCTAGTGAACTCAGTGTTTAGAATTTGCTTCCTTACGCAGGTTAGTAGGAGGACTAGTTGAGGAACTTTTGTGCTTCGAAGATCTACTAGTGCAAAGTACATCTCGAGATTATTTCTTTAGTGGGCATGCATATTTGTAGACCCCTTTTTGTATATTCGAGTCATAACTTTATTTTAAACATTGGTTTGTATATTTTGAATTGTTTATTTTGGGAGCTCATATTGTAATATATTTATAAAATTGTGGCTGATTATTTTAAGACTAGTATTTTAAATTAGTCGTTTTAAAGTAAGAAATTAAAGAAAATTTTTGGTTAGCCACTCTAATGGTTTCGTGTGGCATTCTGATCGGTCAACTGTGTGTCATACTTGTTTAGGGTGTTACACAACTAGGATGCTTATGTAGTGAATGCATGTAGTACAAATACAATTATTAGTATGAGATTGACCTCTTAAGCTCAACATTCAAAGTGTGTATGTGTGAGCAGGTTCTTAGGAGACCGTTCATGGAGAATTATCATCGACAGTGATTTCAGATCAACTGAGGCTTTAAAGTATGTCTTGAGTCATATTTAGAGGGCATGTACTATTTGTTGACCTTTGTATTCAGTCATAACTCTGTTTTGTTTTAAACTCAGTATTAACATTTTGGATGTATTGGGAGCTCCACATATTTTGTAAATTGATTATTGTGTTTTTATTTTATGTCACTATTAATGGTTTTTGTATGATGCTTTACAATTTTTTTTTATATTAGGTTAGCCGCAACGGTGGTTTCGTGTGACACGTTAATCCTTCGATCTTTGGGACGGACTAGATTAAGGTGTTACAGTGAAGTCATTATAAATGATCCAAGTATTGTAATCATTTTCCCCTAATAAATAAACTCATCTTTCTATCCTCTATTTTGTAACTAAAACCCATAACTTACAAACACTATAGTCGGTCACTTTTTCTCCTCCATCTTCTGGCCATCATCTGATCGATATGCCTCCTTACTTGCATGATATCAGAGCATACGCCTAACACCACCACAACTACAACTCAAGCAACTGTACAACTGCTTAATAAAAAAAATCATCTTAAATAATTGTCAATTGAGTGTAATAAATGCTGACTGTCATATGACCTTGTTCCAAATCATTTAAACTTTTCTTTAATAAAAAAAGTGACCCATTTAATTGCTGAAAATGATAAACTAAATCTTATCAAAGAATTAATCAGGTTGTTAGCTCTCGTCTAGGCATTAAATATCTCTGGCAGCGAAGGATCTAGACTGGAGCTTGAAAGAACCATCAACGAATCCCAATTTATTTTTGACCGAAAGAGCAAGCATCATCAACCTCTCCCAGCTATGAAAATTGTTGTTGGACAACTGTAGTGTGACCAGGACCATATTAGAGTTGTCAGACTGGTGCAAATAATATGGATTGCTGCAATTATCAAAGCTATCATACAATGAATCAGACATGATAAAGTGTGGAAACATAAGACTTCTGATATCATATAATAATAAATAAGCTTGAACAAGGAAACGAAAGAATCTTGTTTTTCCCGTATATCACATACTACAAGATTATTATACACACACATATATATATATACAACTTGTGTTAACTATCATGATTGAAAATAACTATTATAATTATACATACTACAAGACTATTATACACAAATATATAACTTGTGTTAACTATCATGATTGAAACTAACTATTATAATAAACCTTAAACTACTTAACTAACAACAATACATAATATGTATTGATACTGATGATGTAGTATCATTACTTTAAGGTAGAATATTGTTGTTATTGTAACTTTTTTTGATGTAATATTTGGATTATATCAGAAATTTCAAAGAAATTGATTATTTAGAAATTTCTAAATCGAAGTTGTTGCACACTTCATTGTTATCAAACCTACTAGTATTAAAATGTTATAATAACAAGAATACTTATTTAACTAAGATTCTGTTTAGTTGAAATACCACTCTACTATAGTTGGAACCACAGATGCAGTTTGTTTGTTTTTAACATCGAGAATAAAGGAATAATATAAAATGTAAGAAATTTGCATGAGCCTTAATTATATACCCACCAAACTTAGACAAGTAAACATGTTATTTGGCCTTGAAATATTCCATTCCGATCTTTACGAGGCTTTAACTTCGGATCTTGAGAAATTAGAGATCTACAAAGTGTTAGCTAACACACTCTCTCAACACAAACTAGAGTATCAATCAATTAATCATCACCAATATGCTGAGTGACAGTGGCAAGTTCCATGAGATTCAGCCCCATCACAAAGGTCTCCAAATCAAGCAAGACAGCAAGTCTTCAACAGGCTAATGTCCAAGGAAACATCCATGGCGTATTCTTCTTCCAAGGTCTACTACGGAGGAGCTTCGGTTGCGATTCCGTTCGACTGGGAATCACACCCCGGAACCCCTAAACACCCTTCGTCCGACACCGTGCTTCGTCCCTTAGCTCCGCCTCCTTCGTATCATTCTTCGATGAAGTCGAAACCAATGACAAAGAAGAGTTTGAAACCTTCAACCGTTTTAGGCTCCATCTTTCGTAAGCTGATTGCTCCGAGGAAAAACCATGCGTCTTCTCCATCGGCGTCATTGTCATGGTCACCGTTACATGGTTCCAGTTCTTCTTTTTCATCGTTCATGAATCGAAAGATACTTCATAGACGAAGGAGCTATTTTTCGTGTTCGTGTCCAAGATCACATATTCACAATTGCATGGATGACGACGACGGCGATGATAATAGAATCAGATCACCGGTTCCGACATTGTGTTTCGGGTTTAAAGCTAAACCAAGGAATCAGATTGAGTTTAAAGGAAGTCAGTCAATGACAAAAATGAAGAAAGCATTGCTATCGGATTAGGTCATGGTAATATTGAGTGGAGATAAAGTAATTTTAAGTATGGAACCGGTTTGATATGCTATTAAGATTTGAGGGTTAAATTATGACGGATTGGTATCAAATGCAACTTATTCTCTTTCTTTTTATTTATCGTGTTATTTTTTTTATTTTTCAAATAATTTTATGTGAATTTAATTAAGAGAAATTAGTAGAATTTTTATATTATTTTACATGGTTTTCAACCTAGATTTTCTATGCAACGGTATTATGTTGTTTTGAATATTTTATTTTTAATTGTTGTTATCATTTTTACTTTTTTTTAGTTTTTAAAAACTTTATAGAAAGCTTTATAACCTTATTATAGCTTTTGAATATTTTTATAATTTTAAATTGGCTTTTAGAATTCTTTATAGATGTTTATAAATTTAGTAATATTTCAAGAATTTAAATATTTAGAATACTTTAGATTTTTACAATTATTATAATTTTATAATAAATATAAGTTTATATATATTTTTTAAATATGGATCTTCCACGTTGTGAACCATGGGCATATCATGCGACCAAAAATTTTTAATTGATATAATTCTTCATTTAAAAGTTTCAATTTAATAAAAAAATTAATGCGCATAAACCAAACAATTTCGTGTTTAAATGAATGATTGTTATGTCTAAAAATTTCAAGTCTGAGATTTAATAATTGCAGGGCAAGCATTTATTATCAAATAGTTGAGAGTCTTTAAAACAAATACTACAACTTATAATCACTCTATATTAATAATAAAAAATAATGATGAAATATTGAAAATTTTTAAAATAATTTGTTGAACCTATTTTGATATAACAAATTTAAGGGTAGAATTTTTTGGACTTGATTGAATTTATTTAAAGTTTTCAAAAATAATTTAAAGTTCATAAAACTTGAATTTGAACACAAAAATGATTTTCTACAAAAGAAGTATTGATACTCTTCTTACAATATCGATAATGTTCTTGTAGTATCATCACCCAAGATAAGAGAAATGTCGATACTTTTATGGCAATACCGATATTGCCTATTGGTTTATGTGTTTTTAGATTCCAATATGTAAAATTAGTACCGATACTCAAATGAGTATTGATACAACTATATAGTAGTATCAATATTGTAAACCCTAGTACCGATACTCGTAGACAAACAGTCATAAAACAACTAGTTTTTATTAGTGCAGTATCAATACTCATCACCTGAGTACCGATACTTCCTGGTTTGTACTATTTTACTTTGTAAATTTTAAATTCCCAACGACTCCAAAACATCACCATCGGCTAGAAGCGACTAGAAACTCATTCCAATATATAAAAAGAAATTGAAGACACTTAAAGAAGGTTACAACACCTATCCAAACAATCCATATCAAGAGAAAAGATCCTTCAATCTTATTTTTCCTTATCTCTTGTAAATAGAGTGTTTTTAGTGAGCTTAACTATGTAAACACATTCATTTGAGATGTTTCTTATTTATATTCTCTTTATCCTTTTGTAAAATGGATTTGGTTCTAGTTTAGACATTGAAAACTAAGGAGTTGTAAAAGGTTACTTTTGAGTCTGGAAAAAGAAATAACAAATTAGTGAATTTGTTAGAAATCCTTAGTGTAGAGCTAAGATAGTGGATGTAGAGCTAGTTGATATGATGAACCACTATAAATCGTTGTGCAAATTGTCTATATTTTCTCTCAATATTCCCAAAATTTTAATTTGGCCAATTCAGCCTCTCTTGACACATTTTTGGTTGATCGATAGAGTTGCAAAAATCCTAACAATGATATTTTGAATCCTCAACCTTAATTTTAAAGTAGTTTTTATATATTTTATACTAAAAGTTAACTTCAGGTGCCTAAAGAAATTTTCGTTAAAAAAAGTATCTAATGTTTCTAACATTACACTTTTAGGTGTCTAGATCATAACTGTCATTAAGTTTGACTATTATCTGAAACATGTCAATCATATAAAATTTAAAAATTTTATTTTTAAAAAACCTTAAAATTATATCTAAAGTAAACTAATTTTTTTTTGAAATGATTAAAAAAACCTAAAATCCAAAAAAACCCCTCTAATTTCAATCCTCTCACCACCACTAGTTTTCATAATCACCGTCAATCAAACAAAATATCGACGAAGCTCGATCGTTCGAACATTCAACGACATTTAATCCCTATTCGATCACTCCAATTTCAATATTCTCAATGTATTACCTCGATTTTCATGTTCCACCGATTGAACATTTAATCCTCATTCGATCACTCTCGAACTTGAATTCAACGTCCAATAATTCCTCGGATACAAATCAACTGAATTTACGTCAGAAACTGAACTTAATTAAGAAACAATATTGAATATAAAGGTAAATCACTAAAAAATAGCTTATTGGGTGCAAATTTGGAAAACGGGCTTCAAAATCAGACTTGGGACGTCAAAAAACATAAAATAGGGCTTTTTGGAAAATTTAACTTTTTCTGTCAAAGTCAACGATCAACGGTTTGACCGGTCAAAGTTAACGGTCTGACCGTTCAAAGTCAACGGTCAATGGGTCAACTCGGTCAACAAGTCAGGTAGGGTTTTGTCGATTCAGACCAGTCCAGACCACATGGATCAGTTCTAGAAGAAACTAGAGCAGGGGAACGAACCCCACGAACACTGCCAGTGTGTCGCGGTGCGTGAGGCAACGAAGAAGGTCAGGGTGGTCGGCCGATTCTTCCTAAGAGCAAACAAACACAAAACAACTCAAAAAACCCTAATAAATCGACCAAAAACACAATAATCAACTGGATAAATAAGATCGAGAGTTTACCCACAACGGAAGACGACGATGGCGTAACACTAGTGATGAGATGGATCGGGATCTGATCAAAATTGTCTGGGGAGTGTAACGGTGTCTGGCGTGAGGTAGAATGGTGGTTGGAATGACAAAAAACAGAAAAAAAAACAAGGCGACGATTTTGGATTTTCGATGAAACTTCCAATGTGTGATTCCCGATGAACGACGACTGATATCAGTGAGGAGTAAGAGGGCTTTTGGTCGGGGCAAGGTGGCGATTCAATTGGACGGGGCGGTTACAACCACCAATAGTCGGATAATGCCGAATCAGAGAAAGAAACGAGCGGGTTTTCTCACCGTTTTGGATTTACGTTTCGAACTGGAGAAGATGATCGAGGGGTTTATTTTTCAATGCTCATTAAAAATGGGATAATTCAGGTTCAATTCCCTAAATTTCCCATAAGTTCCAAAATCACACCGCAATATTTAAAAATTTACAATTTGATCCTAAATTTCTCCCTTGTTACGACTTTAATTCAATACTTAAAATTATTATAATTTAGTCCTTAAATTGGGGTGTGACAATTTTCCCATCCTTAAAAGAATTTCATCATCAAAATTCACTCAAGTCACATAAATGCAGAAATGAAGCTTCCATCAATTCTTCAATATCTTCAAGTAGCTTTTACAGAAGTACTAATCTTTTACTAATCCTTAACCAGCTGAATGTACATTCTCCTAAAAACTATATCTTATTTCCCAATAAAATAATCTGAACGGAATTATGCTTATGGAATCAATTCGACTTGGCTACGAGGTTAGGTTAATAGAGCGATAATATATCCCAATTTCATTTCTAGAGTAGGGTCAGAATTTCTCGGATGAGTAACTCTCACATTACTCGTGAGGCATTTTATATAATTTGGACAAACGTTACTGATATATCTTTATGCATAAATAGAGCCCTAACGGATAGAACTTAGGTTAGCTCGTTATAGAGAGGGACTCGACCTTGGAGTTCTGACTTAGAGAAGTACGATTGTAGTTTAGGGGAATGTACTGACCAAACATCCTATGATATTCGACCGGCTGGTCTACCCAGAAAACTTGACTCAACCTAAGCTCTGATACCATTAAATGTAACATCCACAGACTGATACGGTTGATCCGATTCGATCTAAGGTGTCATATTAGAGCCACCAGAGCGACCCACCGTTAAAATCCTAGAAAATTTAAATTTCTTGTTAAAACATGTAAAATCATAAAACAATTTATAAACACGATAGTAAAATTTAACAATATTTAAAAATAAAATAGATTCTAGACTCGAATATAAAAACAAAATACAAGCTACATATCCTCTAATCACATGCAATGTAACCACAAACAACGCCGGTGGAACTCCTTTACTGATATCAATCATTGCATTGATTTAATCCTTTTGACTTGAAATAGTAAGTAAATGGGAGAGCTTTGGAAAGCTCAGTACAATAGTACCAAAAGATGCTAAAGGACATGCAAATAATAGGTAAACATAATTTTCATTAATGATTCAGACATCTACAGATTCTTATGTTGATCTGAGGTCCCACTGATATCTCAGGTAATAAAAGACATGAAGCTTCTATTTTAGAGTAAACGTTTGGAGGACTAGGTTCATGAGATCATAATAGGATGTCTAGTGTGTTCCCATGAAACTAGTGAAAATGTACATATCACTTTAAAACAGTAGCATATTTAAAACGTATTTTTCAAAAGCCATAGTAAAACCTTCAACCGATCGCCAATATGCAGTTCCCCAGAACTGTATCCATAAGGACTTACCCTAGGCCCAAAGGGCGTAGGTTCCAACCTAAGAGAGCACCTTGGGTCCATAAGGTCTTACCCTAGTCGAAGCGTAAGTTCCCACCTGAGGGGGTGCCCTCATATCCATAAGATCTTACCTAAAAGCACATAGTAGTTGTGTCATCCCTAAGGGAGTGCCTTAGGATCCATAAGGTCTTACTGCTAGGCCCATTAGGCTCAGGAGTCCACCCAAGAATCGTCTTAGGTCCATAAGGAATTACCAATCAGTGCTGAACCTATACAAGGAATTACTAACAGTGACTGAACCTGCCAGTGTCTTTCGTCATACCAGATTCCCAGAGTACCCCGTATAAAAATAATTTTAGTCAGTAAATAGAGATACCAGAAATCAAAGCAGAGATCATAATTGAAATCATAG